ATCGGTGTTTCTCTCTCATCGATGTTTCTAACTCTATAACCCTCTCCCTTCCACTCTGTAAAAAAATCAGTAAAATATTTAAAAAAAAAACAAAAACAAAAAGTGCAAACAAACCCCACATAAAGCATCAGTACAGGTTTAAAGAAGATGCTGTAATCTTAATTCTCTTGCATAGGTAGGCAAATCTTGCCATCAAATCTTCAAAAACATTATTTCTATGACATACCTTCGAAATTAAAAGGCATTATTAAATGGATTATAAATCTGAAAATGAATGAAGATACTAGTAAGGTTTTGTCAGAATATGAAGAGTTATACAGTAAGGAAGGCAGACCACAGGAAAAAAAGTACGAATCCAGCACAATGAACACAAACACAGTGTCAGAGGAGCGTAAGTACTCAAGATGCAAGACATATGTTCTTTTCTGTGCTAGAAAGAATTCAACAGACTTTCTTTGTGGCCTAAATGAAATTTTCCTCAGGCCCATTCACCCCACTTGGCTTTCATTCACTCTGATTCTCTCTGGTTGGGAACATTCCTAGAAATTACAGGACGGAGTCTTGAGTCACTGGAAATGTACATGCTCCAATGATAAATGAATGATTTGACTGTGTGTGAGCTGGATTAGTGACAACTCAGGCCTGAAACCAGTCTGATCATCTCTGGGCAAAACGCGATCCTACGATTTCCCCATATGCAAACCAGAAGCCCCATGTGTGCCTTTGACTGTGTGAATAAACACTGATGGATGAACACACGGCTTTGACAGTTTTTGCCAGCTTATGACATAATGAGGAAAACGAGGACCATGTGTTGAAACATACGTCTAAATTATTAAATGTATGTGAACATCCTGTATTGAGATTATTTTCTTCCAGTGTATATACACTAAGCTGGTGTCCTCTTGTAGATACTCTCACCACCCACTCTCAATCTCCCCGCCCCCCTGGTCTGTTATATTCACTAGTGTGAGATTCACTGCCTCGTTCCCGGGAGGACTCTATCAAAATGGCCCGTTTTATTCCCTAAATAATAACGGCCTATCACTTAAACTTGCAACAGGTTGCTCTAAGTCATGGAATGCTACATTGTAACCAGAGTTAAGAGAAGTTTATCATTTCACCAATGATTTGTTTTACTAACTGAAACAAAATTTTAGATAATTGTGCAGAGAAAAACCTTTAGTTACTGTTATCTTCCACTATATTATAGTTCAATGGGTTTTTTAAATAAATAAGGTAACTCCATTATAGTTAATTGGGTAATTTTAAAGCAGCACTGGCGTGTGCTGCTTTAGAAATGAAGGGAATAGTTCTCAAAGATATCAAGTAACTGTCCCTAGATGGTGCTTTCCCTATCTCAGCAGTTTTTTTGCTTCCAAACCACAATTTGCAATCTATCCATTTGTCTTTAATTTTGTTATTGGCCCGCATTTCCTCAGCACCAGTTAGTCTCCTTGAAGGCAGAAACTATTTTCGCCCCAGCATTTAGTATGTACTAAAATATATTTAAGAATGTTAATAATAATGGTGTTCAGAAAAGAAGATTTATTAAGCATTTATTATGTGCAATGATAGTAATAATAAATATTTTGAATGTCACCATGTCATGCAAATCAGGATGATGTATGAAATCAGGATTGATATATGATTTGATTTTCCTTTTAAAACGTATTTCAAGATATGTAAGCATGGCCCTGACCGATGTGGCCCAGTAGTTACAAGTACCAGGCCATGCACCAAAGGATCTCGGGTTTGATTCCTGGTCAAGGGCAAATACCTGGGTTGCAGGTTCGATCCCCAGCCCAGGTTGGCACATGTGGGAGGCAAACAATTGATGTGTCTTTCTCACATTGATGTTTCTCTCTCTCCCTCCATCCCTCCCGCTCTTTCTAAAATTAATGGAAAAAGATCTTCGAGTGAAGATTAACAAATCCTATATAATAAAAAAGTAATATGCAAATTGATCCTAACAGCAGAACCACAGGGGACAACCGGTTGCTATGATGCACACTGACCACCAGGGGGGAGATGCTCAACGCAGGAGCTGCCCCCTGGTCGTCAGTGTGCTGACAGGGGGAGCTCTGCTCAGCCAAAAGCCAGGCTGAGAGCTGTGAGCGCAGCAGGAGCCTCTCCCACCTCCTTGGCAGTGCTAAGGATGTCTGACTGTGGCTCCCCCGCGGGGTGTGGGCCTAAGCTATCAGTCAGACATCCACTGAGGGCTCCCAGGCTGCCAGAGGGATGTCTGACTGCCAGCTTAGGCCCGATCCCCTGGGGAGTGGGGCTAAACCAGCAGGTGGACATCCCCTGAGGGGTCCCGGACTATGAGAGGGCACAGGCTGGGCTGAGGGACGCCCCCCTCCCCCACCCCCCCCAGTGCACATATTTTCATGCACCAGGCCTCTAGTATATATATAAAATATGCCAGTGTTTGTTCTAAGTGAAATATACATTTTATATGTTCCCCACTCCCCATCACTCCACCATCACCTGTTCTCCTTTATCGCCACCATCAAGGAAGGAAGGAAACTGAAGAGCAGGGCTGCTAGTGCAGAAGCTGGCAGGAAGATCACCTAGTTTTCATTTTTTCTTTTCTAAATCATCTGTAGACTGTGTCCTGGTTTAATACTCACTGATAGTTCTTCATATGTGTTCACTGAGTATTCCAAATACTATTTTGAAGGTATTTTATAGTCAAATAGCTAGAAAATGTCCCTTACCAGCTTCAAAAGAGTATCTAATTACAGTATGTACAAATGGGGTCCTCTCACAGGGATGCTCACATTAACAGTATTTAGAAATGATTTTAGATTTATAGTTTAATTGCAAAAATAATAGAGTGCTATATATTTCACCCAGCCTTGCCTAATGTTACCTTCTTTCGTAAAAGAAAATTTTTTAAAAAATATATTTTTATTGATTTCAGAGAGGAAGGAAGAGGAAGAGAGAGACAGAAACATCCATGATGAGAGAGAATCATGGTGGATCAGCTGCCTCCTGCAAGTCCCTCACTGGGGATCGAGCCCACAACCCGGGCATGTGCCCTTGACCAGAATCGAACCTGAGACCTTCCAGTTCGCAGGCCAACGCTCTATCCACTAAAGCAAACTGGCTAGGGCTTAAAATTTTTTTGAAGTTTATTTTATTGTTGACAGTGTCACAGATGTCTCCCATTTTCCCCTCTAACATAAGCATGGTTCTAGTACTATTTCTGGCCCCACCATACTGCCCTCTGGTCATTAGTGATGCTGAACACGCTGTTTGCAACACCAGGCCCACACTCCAGCCTTACATGCCAGGGAAGGCTGACCAAGATGTATTTCATCAGTGGGCTCCCTTTCCTTTCCCTTTTCCCTTCTGAGTGGGAGCAACCAAAGAAAGGAAACTGGAGGGCAGGGGATTTATCCATACCTTCCACGCTATAGCTCTTTCTCTGCAGGAAGATCCCTTTACCCAAGTCCACAACAAAATCTCTGCTCACTGTATTCAGCTGCAACTCTTCTACCTGCCCCCAACCCCTCGCCCCTTCAGGCCCAGGAGTGGCAATAAGCTCTCTGACGTTATTAGAACCATCATTGTTCCCTAAGCCTGCCCACACCTTTCAAACAATCCCTTTATGAAATTACCCTCAACAGCCCCAATTGAGCGTGCAACCTGACTTTCTCCAGGGGCAAAGACTGACAACCTAACCAAAGTGATGTTACCTCAAAACTGACTTTCTCTAAGAAGGGAATATATCCTTCTACCCGCAACACACAAAGCAAAGGTTATTTTACGTAAATGCTTTGACCAAGTGAACTTCCAAATGATGCCACTCACGAGTCAAATTTCAAGAATCAAGGCCTGAAATTATTTCACACCTTTATCTTATTCAAGAGTCACGGGAAAAATTATAGCACAGCTCACAAGCTGCCGTTTATATATGAAAACAACCCCGTGATCATCAACAGGGCTTGAGCAGGAACCGGGTCCTACAGCATGTGGAGGGGCAGAAGTTTGTGCTGACCTGCCACCCCCTCAATCACTTGACTTGATTCCCAGAAACGGTCATTTCAGCTAGAGGAAAAGGGTCGCTCTAGTCAGGAATTTGAGATCCCTATCAGTAATTTATAATTTTGAGTTGCAGTAGAACAAATATAGCTCATGAATACAGGTTGTTCAAAGGAGAGGTGTGAGACACCCCAAGAAATTCCAGCCCCACAACTAGTCTGTGTTTATGAGTTAGCAGGTTCAGAGTTGGATAGGACAAGCTTCAATTCTATACCCAGTTTCCTTAATCAGACTCTTTATTATCCAACGACTTCCTCATACATGATGAGGATGAAAGTTGGTCAAGGTACCTACAGCATCTACCCTAACAAAGAACAAAGGGCCCAGGATATTTGAACATCTAAGAGGCCAGAGTCAAAGGAAGCAGACTCGTTCTCTGGCACAATGCCAAAGGCAAAGAGAATTACGAAAGGAGACCAGCTGTAACCTGTAGGTCCTGTCATTGATCTCCTGGGTACAGCCAGCTGGTAATTAAGTCCGTATCCATAAAAACTTAAATTGAAGGTTGTACTCACTCCCCCCCCCCCCCCAAATGTGGAATTCGTTTTGCTAACATCTCCCTTCAGGGTTTTATAATATTCTACATTTGCTCTCGCTGTATTTTACACAACCAAGCTAAAATATCAAAGTATTTTAGCATTTCTTCTATGAAGCAGAGAATGTTTTCTTAAAATATCAAAAAATATGTGTCAGTAGAATAGTAGATAAAATATTTTAAAATGCCAACATCAGAAAAAAAATTTTTCCCCCCCTTTAGAGCATTTCCCTACTCTTGTACAATAATGGATAACTGCAGAGGAAAGTGAGCGAGAATTCAGTTCTGTTGTGGCACATGAAATTCAACCACCCAAAGGCACTTATTTTTCAAAAAGTCAGAGTCCACTGCCATTATTCAAAAAAAGCAACACACAGTATATTTATTTCTGAAATTTATTTCAGGCGACAGGACACCCACACACTGACAAAACAAACACAGAATTAAATAGTACTACCATACCCCAAGTCTACTTCCTAGCAAACGTGGGTAACTTAAGCTACCAAGCTTAGTCTATATTAGTCTGCCCGTATAGTTTCTCCCTCTATCCTCTGGCCTCACCCTTGCCTCCCACCAATTTCAAAGCCACTTATTAACAGTAGGGCTAAAACTATTTCTCCCTTGAAGACCTTAAGACAAAACACCTAAGAAGGGCTTTTCATTATGTACTTATATAGGTGGGGTGGGTGGGTCAATATGCAGGGGTAAAAAAATTAAAAAAAAAACACACACAGAAGAGGGTTTACTTTGAAAATAATCAGTATTCTATTTGTTCAGGCCAACTGAGAATTTGTGCCAAGCAATTTCATTCATTCATCATGCCTAGGACACAGGTGACTGTATGGTAAATATTAAATAAATACTTGTTGGTTGATGAAAAATGTACGTGGCAAAGCTGTGTACGCACAGGAAACAGAAACTCGAGGTGATCAGACAGAATTAGAAAGCAATGCAAGATGTGGTTCTCCGTGCCAATAACATTTTCAAGATGCACACTGGAAAACGAATGAAATGAAAATCTGCCATACTCATAGTCCAACATGCTGTTCCTCTTTGAATGCTAAAACTTCATTTGTAAAAGAAAAGCTATGATCAGGTTAAAATGCTTTACATTATAGGTGCACAATATAATTTTAAAGACCAGCAGCTTTATTGCTTAATGTCTTCTTGAATGAAAAAGGTTGCTTACATTCATAATAGCAATATACTGCTTGAAGTGGAACCTTTAACACTTCTTTGCTAGACTAAAGCTAGCCTCCAACTTTTAGCAATGCCCTATGCTTTTAAATTAACCCTTTTAAGTGCTGTACAAAGCTCATAGCAGGAATTGCTAGCTTATACCAAATTAATTTACTACTAAATACTCATTAGGTAAACTACTGAAAATAAAGAAAACATGCATATTCCTACAGCTCTATGAATGTCAAAATTAAAGATGATATAATGATAATTTAGGATTAAGCAAGTATAATTTGGCTGTAAGATCTCAAAGGCTTATACATTTTCAGTTGAACTAAAATCTCTAAGGATCTTTTCCTTTGGAAAGAAAAATCACACACTTTAAAATAGTATCTAATGGAAAGTCTAATAAAATCATAATGGATCATAGCTGTCAACTTCAAAGAGTGTCTTTCTTCTTAAGAGCTTAAGTTGACACTCTGGTGAAACACCACAAATGCAGATGCTACCAAGGCAGCTACAAAGAGAAAAATTTTATTCACAACACTTTGCATATAAACTTTTCCTTCTGCAGATCTGTGTGGAGTTGAAAATAAAGGATGCTAATATGCACATTATGCAGCACATCAAAAAAAAGAGAAAACACTTTACTGGAGTGAAAATTCATTTACTGAAAATCTGGGGAAATTCACATCCCCTGTACTGCAAATTTACCCCTAAGTGACAGAAAAATACTATATGAAATGGAAAAATAAACTGATATGATTTAATCAATAGCTGATTACCTTTAAAACTTTGGGCTTCTTTTCCCTCTTGGGCCTCTTGTTTTCCTTTATAACCTAAAAAAAAAAAAAAAAAAAAAAATCAAATTGCAAAATGAGCCTCTATTTAAGGGAAAAAAAATTAACTCCCACCCCCCAAAATTATTTTGGTCATTTCTCTATAAAACTACTTATACCCTTTCAAAGCATCAACATGTTTGCTAAAGCAGAAGCTCAGGAGCTTATGTAAAATGTATACTTTAAAAGTCACTGAAAAAAAAAAAAAAGCCTTGCAGAAAGATGAAGTAGGGAAATACCCTTTCTTCCCCTTAAAGTCTGTCTTAATTAGCCTCTGCATTCTTCACAGCGAAGCCCACGAGGTAGCCATCTTGCTTGCTTCTGCAGAGGAAGCCTCTACAGTGAACAGTTCTGCAAACTGCTTTTTGGTATTATTATCATGGTGTTTCAAGGCAGCCCTGGCCTGCCAGCACTGTAGACGTGCTGGGCATGCCTTTTGCAAAAACAGCCCCACAAAGAGTGCAGCCAATGGCAATGCAGAGCTTAGCAACTCCAAAGTGATCCTCTCTGCCTAGCCTTCCCAGACAAAGGATCTCCTGTGCGGGTCTGCTCTCACCACAGGACACAGGCAGCCACAAGCTGCGACATGGAGTTCGCTGCGGAGGATCTGGTCGCAGGGAATTCACGGGAGGCTTCGGCAAAAACAATGCACACCAATCCCCCAGGTCTCCGCCATCGGATCGATGGCTGGCCGAGTCTCCCTGATGAGTAACAACCCCTGGGTGGCTCTGAGGGCAGGTCTGCGGTGGGGAGGGGGCGGAGGGGGGAAGCGGCGTGGCCCTGCCTCCAACATACAGGAGATATAGCTGGGCTGAGGGGGGGGGCAGCTGGGCTTGCTGAAACTCTGGAAGGTATTGTGCATTTTTACTTTATAAGGCAAGGCTAAATATTGGCGATATTTAAGGCAGGAGGTTATGTGAGGACAGTGTAGGCTCAGCTGTTGGGCTGCGTGTCTCATTCCTCCGGAACCACACCTCTTTGCAGCAGGCGCTTTGCCCAGAAACACAGCAATTTGATTTCTGTCAATAAATGTCCAATGACAAAGACGGATTAAAAAAATAATAATAAAGCCACTTGAAAGGAAAAGGACAGGATGGGGGGGGGCGGGGGGGGAGGACCTTTCAAAATACACTTGCCACTCTGTGTGGCTGGAGAGAAAAGATTTATCTCTTGCTCTGGACATTTCTGGTGACCTTCATTTCCCCAAAGAAATCTCTCCCTCAACTGTCACTAAACATCCCCCCCCTCCCCCGCCCGCCCCCCTCCCCAGCCCTTCTGCAGGCCAGGCAGATGGACAGGGAGCTCCCCACTTCCCAGGGATTGAGACCTGAGCCAGAGGTGGAACAAGGAGCCACCAACATACACACCTGAGCTGCCCCCATGCCCAGTGGGTGGTAGGTACAGGGAGAGCTGGAACCATAGTTGGAACTTGCCAGGTCCTGTCAATGGCAGAGCCAGAGGAGTTTAGCTCTGGCCATGCAATAGTGGCAATCGAGCAAGAACCAGTACAGCTGCTGTGAGCGGGCAAGTCTCAAGGTCACGGCCAACATTCAGAGCAGAGGCCGGTTAGAGCCCCATCACAGCCACCCGGCCTCAGGTCCACCCTCACGGGTCCCAACTCTCAGCAGCACATTTGGGGCATTGGCTGGAGGGCCTCCCTGGCTGCTCAGCCAAAGGTGGGTTTTCCACTTGCAGTTGGATTCGGAACAGATCCCCACAACCAGAAATGGGGAGGGCAAGAAGGCTTGTATTTCACCACCCTTCATTCCCAGCCTTTCGGTTTGCCACAAAAGCACACTTTCTATGTTGGAATGGGAACTCCAACATGCATTGTCTTTCCATTTTAAACCACCTCTCCTTCACCCATCACCCTCAAAATATTTAACCAATGTAAGAAGCAAGCCTACTGGGAGCAAAACCAGCAGATCCTGACCTAATCACACCCACCAAAGCCACCTCAACCGCATGAAGGAACTCTGTGGGGAATGAAGCAACGATGAAATAGGTAGAAAAACAGGATCAAACACAAGATTTAAGAATTGGTGCAAGATGTTTTCTTAAGCCCTAGCCAGCTTAGCTCAGTGGATAGAGCGTCTGCCTGGTGCGTATTGAAGTGTCACGGGTTCGATTCCGGTCAAGGGCACATGCCTGGGTTGCGGGCTAGGTTCCCAATGGGGGCGTGCAGGAGGCAGGCAATCAATGAGTTTCTCTCACCATTGATGTTTCTATCTCTCTCCCTCTCCCTTCCTCTCTGAAATCAATTAAAATGTATATATTTTTAAAAAGATGTTTTCTTAAGAAACAGTTGAAGCCCTAGCTGGTTTGGCTATTTAATGTTTTGGGTTTTGTTTGTTGTTTTTTTAATACTCACCGGAGGATATGTTTTTATTGATTTTGGAGAGACAGAGAGATAGAAACATCGAAAGGTTGCCTCTTGTTCTAACTGGCAGCCCAGGGGAGTCGAACCCACAAACTTGGTGCACGGGAAAATGCTCTAGCCAGGGCAGCATGGTATTTTTAAGGTTGATCCAGGTTGTAAGATATATCAGAATTTGATTCCTTTTTAAGGCTGAATAATATTTCATTGTGTATATAAATTTTATTTATCACTTCTTCTGTTGATGTACATTTGGGTTGTCTCTACCTTTTGGCTATTGTAAATACCACTATGAAATGGGTGTACAAGTATCTATTTGAGGCCTAATTTCCCTGCTTTTGAGCAGATACCTGAAATGGAATTGCTGGGTCATAATTCTCTTTAACTTTTCCCAGAACTGACAAACCATTTTCTTTTTCTTTTTTAAAAATATTTTTTAATTGAGTTCAGAGAGGAAGGGAGAGGGAGCGAGAGATAGAAACATCATCAATGAGAGAATCGTTGATCAGCTGCCTTCTGCACAACCCCTACTGGGGATCGGCCCCGAAACCCTAGTCTGCAGGCCAAGGCTCTCTCCACGGAGCCAAACCGGCTAGGGCACAAACCATTTCCTATAGCAACTATACCATTACATTCCCACCAATAATGCATACATACAAGGACAAGCCCTGCATTTTTCTTTTTTGTAATCCTCACCTGAGAATTATTTTCCATTGATCATTTTATTTAGAGAGAGTGGAAGGGAGGGAAAGAGAGAAACATGGATGTGAGAGAGATCTGATTTCTGTCAAAATATTTAACATTGGTTGCCTTTCCCACGCCCCCTGACCCAGGGCCAGGGACTGAGCCCACAATCGAGGTACGAGCCCTTGACCAGAATCAAACCCGGGACTCTTCAGTCAAACTGAGTCAAACTGGCTAGAGCAGCCCTGCATTTCTCATTTCTTTTTCCCTTTACTTTTTTTTTTTAGCTCTGCAATATTTAAATAAAATTTTTTAAAGCATCAACATTTTGCCGAAACCGGTTTGGCTCAGTGGATAGAGCGTCGGCCTGCGGACTGAAAGGTCCCAGGTTCAATTCCGGTCAAGGGCATGTACCTGGATTGCGGGCATATCCCCAGTAGGAGATGTGCAGGAGGCAGCTGATCGATGTTTCTCTCTCATCGATGTTTCTAACTCTCTATCTCTCTCCCTTCCTCTTTGTAAAAAATCAATAAAATATATTTAAAAAAAAAAAAAAGCATCAACATTTTACCAGGTTGATTACTCAATACTTAGTAGAGTGGCTATGATATATTAAGATATAGTTACATATTTAAAATCAATCTCTTACCTATGTAATCCATATGTTTGCTTGCCTCAATAAAATAAAATACAACCAAACCAGGCTCCTAGTGTTAGGTGTACTGAATATCCACACTGGTGAGAAGTTCATTTTTTAAAGCCCCATGGACAGTCCTGAGATACTCATGAAGCCATACAACACTGTCCTTAGTGGCCTGAGCAAACATCGAAGGTCTGTGTGCAGTGCTCCATAAAGTGAATTACTGAATTATGACAAAATCCATCCCAGCGAAATGTGAGGGTTAATGAAAGTGAGCAGAGCTCACACTAACTCCAAGATTCCAACTGATACTACACCATGAAGATCTGCACGTGTTTGAATACAGAATAGATGGGTAACCTCACTTGGTGGTGACCATCTGTTCTAAATCCTATAGTTAAAGAGTTGACAGGCTCAGCTAATGGCTTACATAACAGGGAACTTTGAGGGAGAGAATTCTAGCAGAGAGATTGGGCGTTAAGAGAGCCATTCTCTTATTATTATTATTTAGGGCAAAGTTCATACAACTAAATCCTGTTGCAAGTACAACAACTTAGAAACTAAGAAACCTTGTGTGGTAGTCTTACTTATTCAGAACTTATTCTTTCACTTAGATCTATTTGTTTTCCCCACAATGGGTTATGATTATTAAATTGCATGAGTTGACATTCAATTTTATAATAACACAGGTGTATTAGATCCTTCAAAATAATACAAAAGGAGATCTCTTTTCTCTTAAAAATCAATGATTTATAATAGAACTAAAATTTTTAAAAATCAGAAAAAGCAGCCTAACTACTACTTTATTTTATAGATAAACGAAGGCCCAAAGAGGTAATTACTTATCTCGAGCTACACAACAAGTTAGAACTTGACTTGAGCCTAGTTCTAACCATCTAGGCTGCTCTCTATACAACTAACTGCTCTTCATTTTCAATACCCAGCAATGGATATTTGTAAATATCCCAAAATAAACTTAACAGAACTGTCTTCAGAGGGAACTTTAAGTATATGATTAACCACTCTACCATACACCTGAAACTAATACAATATTGAATGTAAACTATAATTGAATTTTTTTTAAAAAACGACCAACACCCCCCCCCCCCCCCCCCCCCCAAGAAATGTCTTCAAACCACATGGTTCATTTTTAGGATAGAGAAATAACTCATATTTTCAAAAGATTGGTATTTTAAATCAACGTAACAGTAGGTGTGCTTTTGTAAAAAAAAATGTTTTGTTCCCTCTGAGGTAAATTTTTTTTTAATAATTTTTTTAAATATATTTTTATTGATTTTTTACAGAGAGGAAAAGAGAAGGATAGAGAGTCAGAAACATTGATGAGAGAGAAACATCGATCAGCTGCCTCCTGCACACCCCCTACGGGGGATGTGCCAAGGTACATGCCCTTGACCGGAATGGAACCTGGGACCCTTGAGTTCACAGGCTGACGCTCTATCCAGTGAGCCAAACCAGTCAGGACGTCTCTGAGGTCAATTTATGAATAATTTCAAAATTATATTTCTCTTCCTAAGCATAAGCAATTCTGTACCCACAAGAAACTAGATATACAGACACTGCCTAGGAGGAGAGTTCTAAAGTCATCGCAAGTTAATTCACTCTTCCTCAAAATTGACACCTCTGCAGCACAAAATCCTTCCAATATTAGCCACTCTCCTCTCCCATTAAATCCTTATATATTTCTCTTCTGGTGTAGAGTGTGTGTGTGTGTGTGTGTGTGTGTGTGTGTGTGTGTGTGTTTTGGGAGTGAGGGAAGTTATAGGTTTTACAGTGATAAAATCATA